TTTTGATGTTGCCACCTGAAGTGACGAGTGTGAACAAGTACAGTGACAGTCTCTCTTCAAACCACTCCAATGGGGGAGGGGGAGGGGGGCATTCCTCTTCTTCCACCCCTGCCCAACTGGTGCCTCTCACAGTTCAACTGTTCGAATTCAGTTAGTAAAACAATCGTTAAATCTGAATTTTTTTAATTCTTTTTTTTTACTCTTGTTTTACTCGCGCTGTTGATTTTGTTGAATTTTTTTTATTTCCAAACTTAATATTTTTAAAGGCGAGATAAATAGCAGTATTTTATCTTTTATTATTTACAAAATATTACGATTAAAAATTGGCTCTTTTTTTACTACAAAAACTGCTTTAAAAAAATTCAATAAAATTCAAATGCGCATAACCTGGTATTCTGAATATATCTTTTAAATTATTCAATTTCCGTGCAGTTCCCACGACTTTCGAGAAACGAACGATTATCGTGTACTTTTTTTCCAGCTCATCTGATGGTCTATCAGCACTACATCACTTCTGCTTACTGCAGACTCTGCTGTCTGGTCGACAACTTAACCCTAGTTGCCAACTACCAAATCAGAGAGGTCAGTTTCAGTTCATTTATCATTAAATAAGACAAGTTTTAAGCAAGTGTTGAACAGTTTTAAGCGTAACCTGATTTGACCACCTAGACCATTGAATTATTTTTTCTAAAAGTTTTAAAGTTTTCTCATATTTTGAGATATTTAAATTAATTTTTTCCGGAATTTTCCGTTAATTAATTTATCCCATACCTGTAAAATGAAACTTCTGTAAGTGCAAAAAAACATAATTTGGGTTTCGACTCAAGATACTCAGCGCAGGGAGACTTAAAACGTTTGTTTCTCAGTGATAATTTTATTTCAAGTAAAGTTATGTGAGACATCCATTAGACGGACTGCAGTTCCATGGATAAAAATTGATTAAATTTGAGTTTTATTGTCTGTAAGCTTAGGTTTAGAATCCGAGTACGCCGTACTCTTCACTTGTTCTGCAAACTGATCATTTGTTTAATTTTTTCCGAAACTTTGCACTACGCGAATCAAAAAAGGGATAAAAATCCATTTTAAATGATTTTAAATGGATCGTAATTAATTTTAAATGGTTAGAAAACAATTGGTTATAATGATTTTGAGTGCAGCATGGGAATCAATTATATTGATAGTGTTTAAGTCCACAAAAATCCATTATAATTGATTTCTTATCACTTTTATTAGATGTGGGTTGTCATATGTCAATTACCATTTTTCCAGGCCTTCACTGACGAAGAAATGCGAGGATCCAAAAAACGACTGGAGACCTTGAGTGAGGTTGCCGACAAGACCGAAATAATCTGGCACTCCATGCGCTGGCTCCTCGACATCCTCCAGCAGAACCGGATGGCCAGAAACAAACTTGGAATCCACTTAAAAACACTCCTGGACACTACGACAAACGTCGTCGACAACTCGGCCCTGAAAACATCGCAGTCCCAAAACTCCCTGCCAAACGGAAGCCAGAAACATTTTGTACCTGGAGTTTCAAATAGTGGGAGCCAGTCGCATCTTTCGAATGCTTTACGAAACATGTCACAAAATCAGCTGTCATCTAACATCACAAACGTGTCTTCAAAACCGCAAAGTTCGAAATGTATAGTTTTGCAAGTTTTTCCACGTTTTAACTGCGGGCTTCCACGAGGAACGTCGGTTCGAGTCGTGATTAACTCGAAAGCTACGTGTAAAGATGTCGTGCAACTTGTCGTGTCGGAACTTTCGAAGGTTGCTCTGAGTCATAACCCGCTACTAACTTGGGACGCCAACCCAGATCTTTTCCAACTTTGTGTTCTTTTCGGAGATAATATGGAACAGACGCTACCAGAACATCTACCACCGGTGCACAGCGTCGATTATCACCCAAACTCAGTTAAATATATTGTAAAGTTAAAAACTAATGCCAATTTTTTTTCCAAGTACTCTGACATATGACCAATTATTTAGTTATACAATTTGGTAGAGACATTAATGTTGCTATTCTTTTTCAATTTTAATTCGATTTGAGTTTTATGTTTATATAATTCTCTTTTTGGTGGCTGCAAGATTGAACAAATGCTTTACTGACCTTGTCGGGTGTAGAGATAATTAAGCGCAATTTATGAATAAATGAAAGTGAGGTTTAAGTATGATGGGTCCACAAATGCAAACGAATCAATAAAGAACGAAGCACGAACTTCAGAGTGGCCTTGATTGATAAATGAGCATCTGTAAAATGTCTTGGTTGTTGTTTGTCTTATAAACTTCGCCATTTTTTAGAAAAAAATTGGTCCTTGCTTTACATACACTACACATAAATGAAACTGGGCAAGTTTGAGAAAACGTCAATTTTATTTTAGCTAAGAAAAATATAATCTTTCCTTTTTGTGTACTTTTCCTGCAAATTAAATTCCATTAGACATCCAGTAACGTTTTTAGAAAATGTCTGCAACGACTTCGAGAACTTTGACTATGGATACGAACGACAACTACGTCCACTGTCATTTTTCACAGACATTTTTTTGAGTTTTCGTTTTCGGCGTTTTTAATTCTTGAATCAAAAAAATAAAGTTAGTTGTATTCCGGAGCGCTGCTTTCAAAATGAACTTGAAATGGTTGAAACTGGTTATCGTTTTTGCATTAATTGTATTCTGTAAAATACAATTTTTGTATTCAGTACAAAGTATGTCTTTACTTTTTCTTTTTGGTTGCTATTTGATTGACTCTGAGGTTTTACTTGTGGAGTTCTCATGTTTCTATGCAGCTTAAAGGTATCGTACACAGAAGCAATGCTTGATCTTTGATTCACTTAGGCAATCGAAAGATTTCAGAAGTCTCATTTACGTTATCATTAAATTGACTGACATTTTTTGCTTTTTAATAGTGATTGACGCGGTTTCAGGTTTTTTACCTGCCAACCCATCTTTGAATCCCCGAATCCCGAAATTTGATCATTGATTCTGTTCAATTGTGAAAATTGAAAATTTTGCAATAAAAACTGCCCCATATGTTGTATGAGATTATTTAAAGATTTAAATGAAAGAACCCGAATATTTAAAGGTACTACGTTCCTGACAAGATATAGTGAACGGATTTCTAGAGTTGTACTGAAAAGCCTGAAGTTGCTACTAAAAAATTCTAGTTATGTCTATGATTGAGTTTTCAATTATTGGTATAGTTATGAAAAATTGAGTCTATGCTATTTTACCAGCTAAGTAAAACATCTATTTTGTCTGAATTCAACTTGAGATGGGACAGTTGTTGTTCAATTAAGCATCGACGTCATCTAACAATTTTTTTTGACAGTTTATGCTCTTTAGTGCAAGATCTCCACTCAGATTTTGTACTTGTCGTTTCACTTTCTGTTGATAATTGTTCGACAGTTTCTAAAATGTCTATAGATGTACTTAAAAGACGCATTTGTTCAGATGTTTTCTGAGAATTTAGTAAGTCATAAAACAACTGCAGATATTTTTTCCTTGCGATTATTGTAATATAACTATTGAGAAAAACGTGTTTAAAATTTTGATATCTAGTCTCAATAGCTTGTTGTTTTACCTATAAGGCCTACAATAGCTTAATTTGTTCCCTGTAAATTTAAATAAACTGTGGAATCAAAACCATCAAAAGCTAGAACTACTGCGAAAAAATTTTAAAATAGTTTTTTTTGCTTGTTTTTGTTTTTCTAGTCACTTTTCTAAAGAAAATGTTCCATTTTGCTTATTTTACTAGTACTATCAAAAATGTTTCAGCTCAATTTGTTCTTTCAGTTCCTTTTATCACATCACGTCGAAAAAAAAACTATTGTAAAAAATTAAAAATTTTGGTTTTTTAGGACTTTTTGCACTATAACCGGCTATCCTTATTCATATATCGGATTGATGCATGCTTATTAGACTAATTCGCAAAAGTATTCAAATTGATGCACTGATTTATCACGATTTGTAGATGTTATCTTTTACAAGTTTCGAACAAATTAGGCTTCATGATGGTATAATTATAGAACCATTAAATTGTCAATTGATTGAAACTACTCTTTTTTGGTAATTGGCCTGCATTTGATTTTTTAATTCTCATTATATTAAATGCTGGCCAATGAACAACTCTGCTTTGCATTTGGTAAGTTCTGCTCCATATTTCAAGTTGTGGAAAAAATTTTGTCTGAAAAATTATCCTTTTATTGTATCGAATTCATACTTGTCAACTTAATTGCTAAGAAAATTATCTGATTGTCTGCACTGCCGTGAAATTGTTATTGCCGCTATCTTGAATTTCTTTAAATTAAAATTGATGGTCCAACGATAATCGCGCAATCCAATTGAGCTGAAAGATTCAATCCATTACTGCAATCCGATCCAAAATATACGACAAAACAAGTGGTCAAGTTGGAACAATGCATTTCAAAAACAGATGTAATCGGAAAATGGTTGCGCGATCATTGAAAAATTAAAATTCGTTAAATCAGAGAAGCCATTATCCTTTAAAATTGCGGTTTTTGTGCCAATTATCTAAATTGGAAAGTGGCAAAACATTTTGTTCGTTAGTGGCACAACAAACTGTGCCTTCTAGCAGTGATATTTGTGTTCATAAATTTTTGAGAAAAAGAAAAAACCAGCTGCCGCAATTCCTGGCTAGCGTTTGCCAAGAACACTTTCAATATCAAGGCTAATTGCTGAGCTCTGCCTTTTTTTCCATTTCACAGAATTTTGCCATAAATTTGAATAACACGCACGGTTTCAACGTAAAGTTTTCATGTTTAAAATTTTCCTCACAAAAAGCTTGAAAAAAAAACATTTAATTTGAAATAGCGAAGAAGCTAGGTTTCCAAATTGATACCAATGGCTGTGAAGAATGTTTCATTACAACAAAGTTGTTTATTTGAAAACAAAAATAACAAACAAAACGTTTGAAATTTAATTTAAACAACGTGTTAGGAGAATTTAGAAAAAAACTTCAAAATAGTTTTTAAAATCTTAAAACTGCATCGGATATTACCATAGTTTTTGAGGAAAAAAAGTAAAGCAAAAAACAATTCAGTTTTCACTGATAATAATGCACAAAAGTGCGATGATTGCTTATGTTAAGACACAAATTCGCCGTTGCTCAGTTTGCGCGTTTAAAATTGTTTCAAGCGTTACACACCTGCAGTACCGTCGTTGGCAGCCGCATTCCCTTTAACTTTTGAAACATTCACTACCAAGATAATTGCCCTTTAACCTGTTTCACCTCAAGAATCTTTGAGCCGGCATATAATTATAAATTGTTTCCAAGCGAAGCCAGCACAAGAGCGAAATTTCTAATTAATAATTTTTTTAAATAAAACATCACGTGAGAGAATGGCATAAGAATAAGTTAAACTTGTTTTCAGGCCTCATAGAGCAGAATCAAAAACAATTTTTGGATACCGTTGTAGATACTGGGGAAAAATACTTGGAACAACCCATATCAACAAAAAAACGGGAAGGGAAAAACCAATTGCTGGAAGAAGAAATTAAGGGTTTACCAAAACAAAAAAAAATCTGAAAAAGAAGTTATGTAAAAAAAAACAATGAAAAAAGTAAAATCACATTATTTATAGTTAAAACACAAAAAAAACTTATTTAATAGGCCACTATTAGCTCAAATTTTGTTATCTAAAAATTGATGGTTATGTGTATATATTTCTTGTTTATTGAAGCACTTTATCATTCCTGTAAACTTAGTGAACAAAAAAAGAAAACTGCCGAAGAGACGACGAATTCTAGCAGCAATCGAGAACAGTGAAGCGTTCTCTTCGTGTTTTGCGACAGCTCTTGCTAAACTTTGCTAAATTGGTGACAAACCAAAAAAGTTATGAGCCAAAAGGAGCTGTTTTTCAGTCAATTTTTTCAGGCTCAAAAAAGGCCATAAATTTGGCCTATTTTTTAACTAAAAAAGTCATCTGATTTTCAAATGTTTGTTTTTTATCTATAGTTTTTACACCATATTTGTAAACTTGTATCTGTAGACAGTTTAACTGCTAATTTTTTACCAAGAACATTAGTTGTTGTTCTTTGTGAGTGAGTTAAGTAGGTGTTAGTTTATTGCTTGCTAACTAAGAAGTAAACTGAATTGATTTTTTTTGCTGATATGCTGTTAGACTATTTAATGAAGAGGATCTTTTTATGACTGTATCATCAGCATAGAGAAACATGTCTCTACCTTGTTGAGGTTTGTTGCTTTTTTCTGAAACTTTCTGTTACAAATTGAATAGAAGTGGGCCCAATAATGATCCCTGAGAGACAACAAGAGACTAATGCAAATCATATGACCTTAAGGGCCTATTTATATTTGATTGAAATCTTTTACAAACAAAAAACATTATTGTTAACATCTCGAGAAAAAATCAAAAATTGAAGCAAATTTTTTGCTCAGCTTTGGAACAATTTTTAGAAAATTTTTTGAAGGATTAAGTCTGTTATTCTCGTGGGTCAACAAAAATTATTCCTTCAGTTTTGATTTTTTTCGCAACATCTTCACATAATGTTTTCTGCACCATAAGTCCAAATGATTCGCATCTATCCAGCAAAACACCATGGTCATAGTCAACATTGTCAATTTTTTTCACTTCTATGAAGTTGCACTGGGCTAAGTTGGAATGTTCATTCCAGTGAAACCTAATTTACTCAATCATTGAGACAAAAGCATCGGTAACGCCGCGTTTTGATCTAAATCTATTGATTTTGTCACAGACTTCGTTCAGCCTAACGAAGGTGAGCCGACTAAAAACTGGCAAAGAAAAAATTGTTTTAAAGATAGCACGATCCTTTTTGTTATCTGCTTTGTGTATTGGAATGACCTCTGCAGTTTTTTATAATTACCGGAAAATTTTGGCAAATGATATATTTTTGAAAAAGCGCTGTAAACAACTCAGTAGCCAATCCCGTAAGTTTTTTTAAAACAAAATTTTGATAGTCGTATGAGTCGACGATGTGTTTTGATTTCAAGTTTTCGAAAAAAAATTACCTTTTTTACGTGCCGATTGGCTCCAAAAGTTTTGAAGAAGTGCAAATCATTCTCATGCTTGAGCTGTGCCAAAAAAAAAATTTGCAGCCAAGCTTTTGCCAATAATAGATAAACAAAACAATAAAAACTTTCAATGAAATTAAAGTCTCTCCTTATGTTAATATTTACGTGCTCGACCAAAAGTG